CCTGAATGCTGCAACTTGAGGCCAGACGAGCGGGGCCAGTTGTGCTTGGAGAGGAGCCTGCCTGCTGCAGCGAGGCCGTCTGCAGGTTGGGAGGCTGCCTGTGCTCCCAGCAGGAGGAAAGGGTTTCTGAAGGAAGGAGGGCTCTTCCCGCTCAGTTTCTCAGCACAAAACCACAGCAAAAGGATGGGTTTGAAAAGAGCCAAGCCCTCGGAGCAGCCCGGTGTGGGGCACAGGAGCCCAGCAGGAAGGCTGAGGAGGTGGCAGACCATAAAGCTGGAGTGATGCTGCTCCTGTGCCACACATCAGCCCAACAGCCACTCCTCCAGGTGCCTCCCACATACCTGCACCACCCTGCAGCCCAGCAAGAGCTCTTCCATCCCATCAGATACCACAGCACATCCCAGAGCTGTCTGTGAAGAGAGAAGTCACCAACCTGATCCTTCAGGCTCCCTCAGCAGGAACCTTCCAGGAGTTTTCACCGCCTGAAAACGCTCCAAACATGCCAGGAGACCTGGCTCTCAGGCTGCACAGCTTCAGCTATTATTTGAGGTATTATTTCAGGTATTATTTCAGGCATTGTTTTGCCAGAGCTGTCTGTGAAGAGAGAAGTCACCAACCTGATCCTTCAGGCTCCCTCAGCAGGAACCTTCCAGGAGTTTTCACCGCCTGAAAACGCTCCAAACATGCCAGGAGACCTGGCTCTCAGGCTGCACAGCTTCAGGTATTATTTGAGGTATTATTTACCCATTGTTTTGGTTGTTTCAGAGTATGGCAAAGCCCAGCCTCTGTTCTGCATCACTGCTCAAGGCACAGCCATCACCTCCACAGCCCCACGAACCAGCTCTGCCCTGTAACGAGGCTTTCCTGCCCTGTGTGTGGACGTGGTGGCACACACAGCACTAACCTTGCCAAAGGCCAGCAGGGCTCAGTGTGAATGGCAGAACCATGGTTTCACCTGGTGCTGTTTGGCTGTTAAATCACACATGCAGGGGCTGTGTTGTCACCCTGCGTGCCACAGGCAGCTCGGCTCCTCAGCCCGGTGCCGCCTCTGACGTTCAGTAAATCACTGCATCTCAGCTCCCCGCCTCTGAAAACATGGGAAAGGTCTTTTGCAAGACCCATGGCTGATGGCATTAGATCATTATGGAGAGGAAGAGCCCCGCCACTTCCTGAGCACGTACCAAAGAGAAAGCCCCTGCTCCCAGCCTTATCAGTCCATCACAGTCCTAGCTCTGACTGCTCAGAACATGTGAAGTGTTTAACAGAGATTATGGCAAATCCTAAATCGTTTAAACAAACTCAAACCCCAAGTCAGTAGGCTCCTTTGGTCAATGAGATAATAAACCACAGCTTTGGAAAAGTCCCAGTGATGTCACTGCAGTTTCCACAGCTTTTCAACCACATCTCGCACAGAAGGCCACAGCGAAGACATTTCTGATTATATAAAATACATGGCAGAGCTAATTAAAAAACCATCTCTCCACAGAGAGAGGGACAGAAGAACAGCAGAGACGGCAAGCTGTTTCTCATGAGCACGAGCCCAGGATCTCCATTTCCTCCCTCACTTCAGGGATGTTTTCCCAGATGGATTTTTGGAGGGACACGGGGTGCTTTGGCTGCACCAACTCATCCACAGAGCTGCTCAGCCATCAGCTCCGAGCTGCCTGCCCTAATTCCACACCAGGCACCTTCCCAGAACAGCAAACCACAAGCACCATCCTCCTTCCTCCTTCTCCACCGGGGGAACCATCACTCAGGGGTTATCAGATGAGGCCAAGAGCGAGACCGAGAGTTTCGCAAACACGCCCCAAAGCACCAAGGATGCTGCAGAAAAAATCCACGAGCAGCCTCCACAGCCCTGAGCTCCTCCAGCCCTTCCAAAGCTCACCAGTCCACGTGAGGATCTCCTGCTTTGAAGGTGAAGTCAGCAGCCAGGTTTGTTCATTTATTATAAAGGAAACCTGCTCCACAAAGAGCTCCATCATGCAATGCATACAACAGAGAAAAACTCATCACCTGAAACACCAGTCCCCACTCTCCAGCCTGGCTTAGCTGCCATTTCCTCGTGGAATTAAGGCAGCCAGCCCAAAGATTAGTCTTAAAAGTGGAATTTGCAGCAGGCAAAGAGCCCTCACTCCCAGCCCCACCACTGCAGCCTGACCACAGCCAGCCCTGCCAAGTCAGGCCAGCAGTGACCTACATACAGCAGCCTCCACAGAAATTACAAGCCTAATTTTGCCTAATAATAAATCACACCAAGGCACAAGGAAGAAGGGGGTAAGGAACCAGGCGTTTCAGCTCCATTCATCACCTCTCCCCAGGCTTTCTGTTGCCACCCTGCAGCAGATCATCGTGCTTCAAACAGGGTCAGCTCACGGGTGACTGGGACCATCCGTGGCTGCTTCACACCAGATAATTCAGGGATGCCACGCTTCAGGTACCAAAATAATACAATAAAATTGGGGGTGGGAAACAGGAAAATGAGCAAGAATCTATATGAAAAGTAGAGGAATCTCTTGTTTTCACCCAGGTACTACACAGCAAGCAGAACTACCATCCATTAACTCTCACACAGCATCATTTTGTTTAATGATGTGTCTCTGCCATGGACTATTGCTCTGGAACAAGAAGAAAATTGGCCCTTATGTTTTCACTGCTGCTAGAACACTTTCTCCAAGCTCAAACTCTCCTGGAGCACTGGAAAGTTCTCTTCAGCAAAGTGACTCTCAGCAAAACCCTTCCCAAAAGCACCTCTTGATTTGGGAGGAAGAGCTTTAACAACACAACAGCTGCTCGTGACCCAAGAGGAAGCACAAGATGACCAGAGGACACCATTCACATCAGGGAGGGACACAACTGCGTCTCATCCTCCAGTGAAGGATTGCATTGTTATACAAGATTTTGGAACAGCAAACCTAAAGAATGACACTCCAAATGGAAAGGTTCACTGCACAACCAAAGCAGGCAGCAGACAGATTTCAGCTGTGGCTCCTGGCGATGGGCCATCAGGATTCTTTTAAGCATCATCTGAAACATGACAACTCGATGCAATCACTTCTGTGGATCCTGCTTTAGGTCATCTTTCCACTCTGCTGCAGCCCATGAGTAATTTGGGCCCAAATACCTCTCCACAGGTCTCTAGCAGAGACGTCAGCCCGGCTGCGTACCCGAGGAGGGAATGAAGTCAGCACACATCATGTCTAGGGCAGTCACCCACACCAAGTTTGGGCTCTGCAGCTCAGTCCAAACATCCCAATGGAGTAAGGCAGAGCAGCTCACGCTCGTGAGGGCAGGACGAGTACCCAAACTCCCAGCAGAGCCGTTTGGAAGGTGCTGGAGGGAATCACTTACAGTAGCAGCTGTGCTGCTCTTTGAGAAGCCAGGGACACGTCCAACCACTGAGCTGAACCCGTCCCTCCCCGGCAGGGACGCCAGGAGAGGCCAGGACAGGGGACAGGCAAGACAATCCCTTCTCCTACAAGAGACTGAGTGTCGAATATTCCTCACCCCGCAAGAGCCACACGGGCACTCTGTGTCACCCTCCTACACCCCAGCCCTGCACTCCAGGAGGTTTTTGGAAGCCAAGGGACCCGTGTGGCACAAACCCTGACCCCGGGCTGTGGCACGGGCAGGGTGACAGCAGCAGTCCCGTGCCCTAGCCACGGCGGGCAGAGGAACCTCCGGCCTCCTCCTCCTCCTCCTCCATCCTTCCTCTTTCAGGGCTGCGAGAGGGAAGTGCTGGGATCTGTGCTTTAAATATGTGACTCAACTTCAGAGGCGAGGAGGAGCCCGTCTGTCAAAACAGAAGAGGATTTCGCTAATTTTCAACCCGATGAGATGACAACACAATGTCACCCCGGAGTACGACGTGGGGCGGCTCATGATCCATGTCTTTGGCATTTCTGAAGGAAAAGCCAAACTTCTATCACCCAACTGACCCCACTTCCTCAACCACAGACATTCAGCACCGTACTCTGCCCACTCCACCACCTCTGCAGCACAACTTGTACTCCCTAAGCCCCACCTTTGTTCTCTCACTGAGGTTAGGAACCCCAGACACCAACAGAGGGGCAACCCTAAACACAAAAGAAGTGGGGTTACGGGTGTAGGTGGGAGTTACGGGTTTAGGTGAGGGTTATGGATTCAGGTGGGGTGTTTTTAGCCTTCCCAGTTCTCGGGGTGACGCCAAGGATTGGAACAGCTCATGTGTGGGCGCAAATTGCACGGATGCTGGAGAACACGGCGCTCCCAGCCAGCAGCCAGCCTTGCTCCCGCGTCACCCGGCGTGTCAGGAGCCATTCAAACTTCCCCGAGCCTGGCTGGCAGGGAGACACTCTCCCCTCTTTGCCCAAAAACCTCCTTGGAAAACAAGGGCAAGGGCCGCATCACCTAGAGCGGGCTCGAACACCCCTTGTAGCACCGCTTATCCACGCCTGTCAAAGAGAAGCAAGTTAGGGACAAGGGGTAACATCGTAACGCTGAAATATTCCAGGTGGGAAGCGGGGCACGACAGTCGCTCGCTGTCAGAGCCGGGAGGGGACACGGAACGGGGACAGCGAGCAGCTGGGGGTGCTCACAGCACACACCAGAACGCCCCACGGAGGGAACCCCGCATCCCCCGGCGTGCCCCCCACCCTCGGGATGCACTCCAAGATGTGCATCCCCCGGGGGGATCCCAGCCAGGCCACGGTCCCCTCTCCACTCCTGCTCCCCCTAACCCCCCTCAGGCTACGAAGATGCCATTTCTCTTCGTTTCCCACTACAAAGCTGGAAACCCGCGTCTCGCTGCTCGTAAAGAGGGGGGGGAAAACGAGATTAAAGCGCGGCCGGAGGGGCGGGCGGCCCCTCATTGTCCGGCGGGCCCCGCTGCCGCCGATGCCCCCGGGACCCCCTTCCCCGGCAGCAGACACCTTCCATCACTGCCGGCAGCGCCGCTGCCGCCGCCCGGCCGCCCCCGGCCCCGCGCCCCCCGCGCCCCCCGGCCCCGGCTCCCCGCGCACCTTGAGCGCGAACTTCTCGCCGCTCTTCTTACTGAAGATCTCCAAAACTTTCCCGTTGATGCCGAGCCCCAGCACTTGCGTGGTGACCTTGTAGTCGTCCGTGATGGCATTCTTCCGGATCTGCAGGCCGCCCTTCCCCGGGAACGGCGGCGGCCCGTGCGGGGGAGCGGCGGGCGGCGGCGGAGCCCCGCGGGACGGGCCGGGGGTGCGGGGGGTGAAGCAGCAGCGCCGCCGCCGCCGCCCCCCGCCGGTGCGCCCCGGCCCCGACAAGAGCGATGGCTCCGGTGCGGCGGCGGCTCCTCCTCCTCCTCCTCCTCCCGCCGGCCCGGCTCTGATGTCAGCGCCCCGGCCGCCGGGGGAGGGACGGGGCGGGGCGGCCCCGGGGCCGAGCCTGCGCCCGCCGGACCGGCCCCGCCGCTGCCCCGGGGGCGCCGGGGGGGGCTGGTGCCCCAGGGGTGCGGGAGACCCCCGGCCCCGCCACCGCCTGTGTCCCCAGTGCCCTGGAGCCGGCGGTGGGATGGCAACAGGTCGCGGTGTTGCCGGTGACGCTCCGGTGACAACAGCAAAGACTGTTGGCAAAAGCGTGGAGCGACAGGACGGGGGGGAATGGGCTCAGGTTCGAAGAGAGAAGGGTTAGGCTGGATATTAAGGAAAAAAAATCTTCTCTGTGAGTGTGGGGATGCCCTGGCACAGCGTGCCCAGAGAAGCTATGGCTGCCCCATCCCTGGCAGTGTCCCAGGCCAGGCTGGAGCACCCTGGGACAGTGAAAGGTGTCCCTGACCATGGCAGGGGTGGAACGAGATGATCTTGAACGTTCCCTCCAACCAAAATCGTTCTGTGATTGCACTATTCAACCAGTGACAGCGTCCCATCCATGCCTGGCGTCTCCTCACTGCCCGGGAGCACCCTGAGGTGACAAAGGGCTGCTCTGGGGATGGGTGACTGCTGGTGCCCAACACCTCATCCACCATCGCTCCATCCACAGCCGCTTCCCAGGAAGGCAAGAGGTGTAACCAGCACCACAGCACAGAGAGCATCAGGGCATGGGAAATCCAAAAACAGTAAAGCCTGATATCAGCCTGATATCATCAGCCATGTCCTGATGGTAACAAATTAACTGCTATGTCCATGTTCATCCCAGAATCCAACAAAGATGAGGCTAAAAGAGAAGAGATCTACACTGAGGTGCAACCTGCCCTTGAGCTGCCTGACATCCAGTAAAATCCAGTGAGCATTCCTTCTGCTAGAGCGTCCCAGGAAATCAAGGTATTTCATTTATGGATATAAAAGGCACACTGATAATCCCTGTTCTCTAAGTAAAGAACATGTGTTTTCTGACATCCATCCCTCTCGCCCAGCTGTCCCACAAAAGGCAGGGAGTGTTCCCTGAGGAAGGGATGAAGGAACATCATGGTACACAGGATCTGCACCGCGTCCTCCACAAGCAGCTGCCACCACGAGAAAGAAGAATCCAGGTCCTAAAAAGGGACAGGACAGTGAAGGGCAGGACAGGGAAGGGCACACGGTGGCCTCTGTGTGTCCCTACACACAGGCAAGGCCACCCCGCAGCAGGAGCCATCTGCTCCACCTCTGCCACCTCAGCACCTTCTGAGATCAATAAAATCCTCTCAGGTTTTTTAATCAAGCCAATAAAACTGCTCCCAGCTTTACACAGGCAGTTCTTACCCCGTGCCTGATCAATAGCCGGGCGAAGCAGCGGATCCAGCTAATCAAAGTACGTCATTAGCAGCAAGAGACTGAGCGTCTGTCAGGAGGTGGCAGTGACAGTCACCAGATGGGAGAGTGAGTAAACCTACACCAGGCGCTGGCAGCTTTATAAATAAAACTCTTGTCGAGCTCCCCGTGCCTCTCCCTGAGTCCTGAGTTTCCCTGAGAAACCTGGAGAGCAGCAGAGGCCTTCCCCCGCTCCTGGCTGAGAGATTTCCCTCTTGGAGAACGGATTCATTCTGAGCCTTGCAGCATCTCCAGAATCTGATCCTCCACCCCAGCTGACAAGGGGTTTTGGGGTGGGAGTTAAATCCTACAGACCCTGTAAGCACAGATCAAAGCTGCTGCTCTGTGGGGTTTTCCCAGCTTTGGCGTCCCCTCACTTGGGCTGGTCTCAGCACGTCTGGGGAAAGGAGCCTTTCAAGCCAAGTTTTTCTCCACAGAGGAATCTGGTCAAAGGAAAATGACTGACCCGTTTCGTTGCTCCGTTTCCTTTAGTTTCATTCATATTTGCTTTGTAACCCGACCCTGCAGCTATTTCAAAGATAAACAGCAGTCCAGAGGAGGCACAGTTTGGGAGCCCCGGGTCCTGGGTTTCCCATGGAGTCCTCCTTGGTTGCTCACCCGAGGCGAGGGCTGGGCTGGCTCCTGCTCACAGCCTGGGCCCCCTGGAGCTGGGACAGCACAGCCCCACTTCCCTCTGCCTGCAGACTTGGGGGAGTCAGGAAACCACATCAATTAAACAGGATCGCGGCAAGGTTTGGGTTGGATGACTTTAAAGCTCATCCAGTTCCACCCCTGCCATGGCAGGGACAGCTTCCACTGTCCCAGGGGGCTCCAGCCTGGCCTTGGACACTGCCAGGGATGGGGCAGCCACAGCTCCTCTGTGCCAGGGCCTCCCACCCTCACAGGGAAGAATTTCCTCCTATACCCAAGCTGAACACCCCCTCTTTTAATTTAAAACCATTCCCCCTGTCCTGTCACCAAGCCCCTTCAGCACCTTTTCATTCACCTTAATTTCTAAGGTAAATCTGATGCTTGCAGGGAGTTTGTCCTTGCTCTGTTTCCTCGTGCTTGTTGATAAACTTAAGCTTTCTCCTCTAAATTCGTGTCATGGGGACAGATGTTTCTCTCCATCCTTGCACCTTTCACAAGGTAATTGCAATGACAATCTTCTGCTGGAGCCAGTGGGAAGCAGTGAGCCAGTCGGTGTGAATTTATTAAGAAATAAAGACTTTATTAAAGAAATCGCAGTGGAGGGGCAGGCAGGAGAAAGCCCAGTGTGACCATAAATATTTAATTTTCAGTTCTGTGCCCCTCACAGCGAGCCTGAGCAGCGGAGCCTGGGTGAGACAGAATTAGCGAGATTCCCCCAAAATGATCCAATCTCTCCTCCAGACAGGACAGAGGGGTGCCGGGTCCGTGCTCCGGGGTGTCGGGACTCCCTGCCCGGCTCGGAGCTCATCGCCCCGAGCCACCACGAGGTGGCCCCCGGGCCCCGCCGGGCCCCGCTGCGCCCGGGGCCGCGGGACGGGAGCGGCCGGGGGCTCCGGGGCTGGTACAGGGCACGGAATAAATACTCGGATACTCGAATGGTAAGGTAACAAGAAGAGGAGTTTATTTTCTGATTCTAGTATTTACAGACTTTCAAAAGTGACAGTGGATTGGAGGATGGAAGTGCCACTTCTCCAATGACGCTGGACAAACTAACAGCCCGTTAAATTTCTCCTCCTCTAGAGAGGAATGTAAAAACGATAATTATTTACATAAACGTAAAACCAATAATTATTTACATAAAACTGCATGAGAAACCTCATTACGAGAAACATCAGAAGGCTTAGGAGAACAGGGTGACACTGCGGGGTCCCCAGCCCTGCTCAGGGTGGGACCATGAGGAGCCACCTCCCCCCTGGCTCAAAGGGAACCGTCCTGGTTCTCCTCACAACACGTATTCCCTGGGGAATGGGGTCACAGGAGGGTTGGGCTGAACCCTCTGAACTTTCTGAGCCTTCTGGATGTCAGAAGGTTCTTCCCCCAGAGGGTGGTGGGGGCCCACATCCACCCAGTGCCCTTCCCACACACCCCACGGATTTACACAGCAGGGGAAGAGTCACCATGTGGGGTCCAGCATGGGAAAAACCCATCAGATTTTGCTCCCTTTTTGTCAAAAAACAAACAAACAAAAAACAAAACCAAACAGAAACAGAACCCCCCCACAAAAAACCAAAACAAACAAAAAAAACCAAAACCAAAATAACAAAAATCCCAAACAAACCAACTCAAAAAACCCTCTATGAACACCAAACCCAGTGGCAGTGACCTCCAATTCTCAGCCAGGAGAAAAGTCTCAGCCAGATGAGAATGGAAACTGATTTTTCCCTCCTTGCACTCCCATTTCCACTGGGGAACAATCACTGGCTGGCAGCAGGCTCAGCCTTTACGTGACAGAAGTGGCTGATCCCTGAACATGCTCTCCATGGCAAGTAATAAACCAGACTGTTATTTAATTTTAGCAGAGTTACCAGGAAAAATACACCATGAAGATGAGGGTAATGATCATTAAGGCTCTGTGCATCCTGTTCTTCTCCCTGGGTGGATTTGTGGGAGCACTAAGCTGGTGAAAAGTTATCCCACCTAAAAAATGATAATTCTTTTAAATAATCTTTTCAGGAGAGGGGTAATAGAGTTGAAAAGATGCTGTTTATCACCATCACAACTATCAATGCCACCTGTAAAGCAACGGAAGGATGGAAATAAGCACAGGAGGCAGCGCTGGAAGTTGCAGTGAGGATTTTTTCCAGCGTTCCTGGAGCTCCAGCTCAGCTCCCGGCAGCTGCTCTGCTCTCCCAGGAAGCGGCTGCATCCCAGTGCCTGGAAGTGATCCTTGTGCACGGCTTGCAAATCTATTTATAAAGCACTGTGGGATCCTTCAGGATGAAAGGAGCTATTCTAACTCGAGTTTATTTCCCAAAAACGCAACCACAAACTTTCTCACGCTGCTCCACCCAGGACAAGTCTGAGAAATCACATTTTTATGGAGCACCGGGGCACGGGGTGGGTCTGGCTGGCAGCACCATCCCCTTGCCGGGGATATTTACCCCGGGCAGCACCTTTCTGCAGCAGCAGGAGATGGAGCGATGCCCCTTGGCACACGGTGGGAAGAGGCAGCAGCTCCAGGGCCGGGATTCCCATCGGGATTATCACCCGCGGGCTCCGGCGTTGCTCACATTCCCCAGCGGGATGGCTCCCCAGCCCCTTCCCGCTGGGCATTCCCGAGCTGAGCCCATGATTGCGAGACATGTCAGGAAATACTGCTCGGGATTAGAGCTGTCTGCCTGCTGGGGATGAGGATTTTCCTGCCCCTTTCCCGGCCAGCCGGGTGCCAGGCACAGGGCACAGG